TATAACTATATAAAAAGCTTATAATAAGTAAAATACTACTAAATAAAAAGCTTTATTAAATTAGAATATAAAAATATTAAAGTAGCGTTATATTATAGAGATTAAAAGTAGTAGTAGTAATGCATTACCACCCGCTAAGCCTATTACTAAAACCACTATCTATAGCCGTAGTATATAGTTACTAAGTAAATATTAGTAGATATATATTAAATATACGATTATACTAGTACTCTACTAAAAAATCTCGCAATAATAGCGTTTTAGTGGTAGTTAAAAGCTTCATTTTTTGGTGAGCTCGCATTTTGGTGGGGTGTTGCATTGGCTGAAGTGTTGCATTGGGTGCGCACGGACAGTATTTGTACCTTCAAATCAGAAGTATCGCCTACGCGATGCACCATACCTTCGTCAGCGCTATGTTTACTGTAGGTTTGCCCGCAATTTGACAACCAAAAGTCTAGAGGGTGTAAGACTCTTTATGCTCTAACCACGGCCTATAAGCAAGGCAAGGCTGGATCTAAAACGCTACGACTGCCATGCTCAGTTGATGTTTGAGAAGCCAAGTCAATCATTCAAAATACAAGTTGTAAAAACCCTCTCGAAATTTAGCGGATAACACTGAAGAAACGCTTACGCAGAGATTGCTAAAACGAAAACATTGTGAGTTTATAGAAGTGATTAGCTAGAGCGGCTATCAACCCACCACTGACAGACGAATATTATTAGGCTTAACAGGCCTACTAAGTATTACGTCTTGTTACGTCCGCGGAAAAAAACGCTAATACGATTATTATAGGGAATATGCAATACAGTACTTGGCTCTAAAAGATGCAAGCCGGCTAGTCTCAGTGAGCCCTGCAGAGCACTTCCTTTATCTGTACTAAGATTGTGAACAACAATGGTCGATATTTCATAGGAGCTCCTAGATGTGAGCTTTGGTTGCGAGGGAAGAAAGGTTGGTCTTTTATGATTAGAAATCGTGGTATAATACTTTCAGTCAGTGCAACTCAAATACTCAGTGCCGGCGACTGTCGACACTACTACTCTTTTACCTACTGAATTTGGATGGTAGGCTAGCGTCAACCAGGGTTAGCTCCTTCCCAAATAAGTCACACTCTAACATAAATACCTCCAGACCTATATTCTCTGTCACGCAAACATGAACTGACCTCACCAGCATGGATACCAACAACACGACCGGCCTGATCAATAGGCGCGCTAAAAACGCCGTCACGCCTCGGTCCGTTGTCAAAGACGAAAACAATAGCGACGTTGTTGCACAGGATGAGGAAGATGATCCGAGCATTTACAAGCCGCAACCACAATTGCCGCACCCCAACGTTCACATGCGAAATATGAGGAGTCTGACAAGTAAGAAAAGAGCTTGAGAAGCTTGACTATGGGGTGCTAACGAAAACTAGAGGAGCTCGAAGATGGCACTATCAATGTTGATCCGGAATACCAGCGAGAAGTTGTTTGGACAGGCAAGGATAACACAAGCCGGCTGCTGTCGCGACTCCACTAATTGTATACAGCGGATCGCATGACTGGCTTGATAAACTCGTTGATGGGTAATTTGTACCTACTCCAGGCCCTTTCCATCCAGTCTGACTAGCCCTGCAGAAAACTACTACATCCCTCCGATTATTCTGAACAAAAAGACAGATCATGTCTCAGGCACTAAACCAACGCGTGCCACCTTTGTATGTGTTGATGGAAAGCAGCGTCTGTCTTCCGTAAGAGCTTTTGCGAAAGGAATGATTCCTTGTCATGACCACCAGGGAGAGAAGTGGTAAGTTTCTTTGGGATCTGCCACTACTGAGACATACTTACCAACATTGCAAGGTGGTTTTGCGAGACTCCAGGGACTAAGCGCAAACGCTTACTCCCGCTAAAGACCCAGAAACTCTTTCTGGAGAAAGACTTTGTTACCTTCCAGTTCTCAGAGTTGACCCAAGAGCAAGAGGAGGACTTGTTTGCCAGAGTTCAGATGGGTATCCAGCTCAGTGCTGCGGAGAAAATACGAGCGAAATCGGAGCCATGGCAGGAACTGGCCAAGCTCTTTGTACAGGATTTCCCAGTCATCTACGACTTGATGAAAGACCGGAGCCGCGCGAAGGATTTCCAAATCACCATGGCCTGTTTTAGTCAAATTGTTGAGGTCAAGAATTCGCGTGCAACAAACGGAAACGGAATTCCAGTCTTCAAGGCAGCTTATAACGCAGTCCCTAAATTACTAGATAATGCAGAAGCAGTCAATGATGCTACAAAATCTCACCTTGCAGCTGTCTGGAAAACCTTTAGCGAGCTTGCAGAACTGGATCCTCATACCTTCACTAACGCGGATAAACATCTGCGCGGTGTTCAAACTTTTGCTCCTGTGGAGATGGTTGGCGTGGCTGTCCTGATTTTCATGCACTTGGAAATGGGTCGCGAAGTTCTTTTAAGAGATATCAAGATATTCCGAGAAATGCTTCGTGAATCCTTCTCAGATCTTCGCCTCAATCGCCAGGTCTGGAAATTCATGTGGGAAATCATTGACGGCTTGCAAGGGATTCACGGTGGTGTTGAAGACGAAATTACAGAAAAATCGTCCGCATCTACAGTGTTGGGTTCGGCGTCGAACATTCAGTTGTCCATCTCGGCGAAAGTCTTACTAGACGGTTTCAAAAAGAGGGTTGCGCCTGAGACCCCCACGAAGGCTACATCATCGCCACAAAAGACGGCCGTCGAAGCGGAAGCCAAATCCTCAGAAATGCCGCCAATGAAACGACGTCGCAAGGGTTTGGAGCCAACAGATGCCACAATCTCGAAGAATCCTCCAAGTAACAATGTCATCTCGCAAACAACGGGAAGTGTTCCACTTTACCCATCTCGCATGATTCAAGCGTGTCCCAAAGACCATGGCGCTTTTACACCTGATCATACAAAGAAAGAGATGAAGGGCATCATTGTACCTGTGTCTCCAGAGCTGCCTGTTACAGCTGGCCTTGCTTTACCAGTGTTATCACAACGAGTAGCTCCTTCATCACTGGGCTCATCTGCTCCCCGGGTACGGCCAAAATCCAATACCAAAAGACGCATGCCTGTCTCTCGCCCGACGAAAGAGCAAATTGGTCAAGCGATTGACCTCACTGGCGATACATGATAGAAAGACACATTTCATATCCATAAAACCAGGATCAAATACCAAAGGCGGACTGGAGGCGGGGAATGACACTCTTTCTACCCTGACTCGGGGTTGGGGCTATTTTGGGGGCTGAGATGATGTATTATTGAGATATGACAATTTATGATCTAATCTGTATTCATACTCTGGGTCCGAACACAAATGCTATATGACTTAAAGACTGAACATTACCCCGTATTTTCTAAGCAAAAATATCCCTTTCTTATATGTAATTGATGTGCGGAAGCATTGCCCAGAACGCCCGCATGCATATCAGCAGCGTGGTAAGCACTAATTGAGACAATCCATTCTCTCACAGCTTCCGAATGAACTGCATCAACTCTCGCTAGTATAGCCTTTGTATGGTGCTGTATTGGAATTACAACATAATTGTAAGCGCGTTGTGCTGCCGAGGCCTTGTGCACCGAGAGAGGTTCCTGGATACGACGTCATGGCGCACCCTCAACCTCGGCATGTCGCCGAACCATTGGAGATGAGACGTACTCCTACCATGGGCCTACGACGAGTAGACTGGGCCAGGGAATACCGCAAGAACCCCTAAATTCCAAGGATAAGCCTATTGAAGCGGCGACAGTCGGCGTCTCGGATACACCGGAGCCAACAGATCAACACGTTCGCGTTCTTACCACAGAAAACACATCTACACCACTCCAAAGCAATACTGACACAGCTTCTTCACGCGATACCCACATATCCATTACAGAGAATCACAATGGGATTTAATCCCGCGGCCGACATTGGCAGTCTAGAGGGCAAAGTCATCCTGGTGACTGGCGGTACGTACCCACGTATCTCTCCTTCTCCGCAGCCGCTCCCAGCTACACCAATATCTCAACCTCAACAAGTCTGACGCGTCCACAACAGGCAATGCTGGCCTAGGCAAGCAAACAATCGCATATCTCGCCGCTCACAACCCCGCATGCATCTACCTCGCCGCCCGCAGCGAGTCCAGAGCCCGCGATGCCATTGCCTCGATCAAATCCTCAGTCCCCAACGCCTGCAACATCGAGTACCTCTCCCTCGACCTAACATCCTTCGCGTCCATCGCCGAAGCAGCCTCTACATTCAAAGCCCGCGAGTCGCGTCTCGACATCCTGATCAACAATGCGGGCATCATGGCGACACCATACAGCACGACGAAGGAGGGCTACGAGATCCAGTTTGGCACAAACCACATGGGCCACGCGCTGCTCACCAAGCTGCTGCTGCCCACCATGCTTGAGACAGCTAAGCTGCCAGGCGCAGACGTGCGCATCATCAGTCTGAGCAGCGCCGGACACGTCATGCATGTTTCCCAGGGCATCATCTTCGATCAGGCGGCGCTGGAAAAGCAGAGCACCGTGTTCCGCTACGGCTCGTCGAAGCTTGCGAATCTGATTTATGCGAAGTCTCTCGCGGAACATTACCCTCAAATCACGTCTGTATCGCTGCACCCCGGTGTAATCCTGACGGATTTGTTCAACACGCTGCGCGCCAATATCATTTTGAAGTTTGGGCTGTGGGTGTTGGGGTTCATAGGGTTGGTCCTACCGGGCCATTTTAGAGGGCCAGAGGGCGGAGCGCTGAATACTACGTGGTGTGCGACGGTGCCCAAGGAGGAGCTGGAGAATGGGGCGTATTATATGCCGGTTGGTAAGAAGAAAAATGGTAGCAAGTATGCGAGGGATGAGGGGCTGAGGAAGAAGTTGTGGGAGTATACAGAGGAGGAGTTGGCGAAGCACGGGTATTGAAAGAGTGAGATGTAAAAATACCTATTCCTTATATTGGACTGTGATAAATTGGCATGGATAATCGTTGAAGGGCTTTGAACGAATGCAATTTTGTTCTCATGGCAATGACTTTTCAATATGCTCGCGAGCTCCACCAGAGATGCATTACCAGTCGTATATTGGTATCCCTGCTCTATGTGCTGGGAACCTGCCTCTATGTACAAGTAACAGTACTACGCTGCAAGAATGCTGTTCGCGCCAAACGCCCGCCCATGTGGTATCGTGAATCTGTCTATACGTCGAACGTACCTTTCTTGTAAGCTTCTTTTTCTTCAAGTCTTCGCTCTAATCTACCCTCTTGAGCTGGCGATAGACCTTTTTGTGTTGTTCCAGAAATAGAAACGTGAGTACAGTATGCGGTCCGACGCGAATGAAACTTGGCACCCAGCCCTTGAACATCCAGCGGAACCCTTCAGCCCTCATCGTATCTGAGACTGTCTTCACAAGGCCCACGTTTTCGCTTGAACTCATGACTTTGGTCTTGATAACGTCTACTGGTGAACAGATCGTGGTAGCGACAAACCCTGCAAGAAAAGATGCGGTGAAATGCGTGGTGAGATTGTCCTGGAGAGGCGTGTAGTTCAACAGGACACGCTTGAATCCGTCATAGGTCGCCAGTTGGCCAACAGTCATGAGCACAGCTCTTGAGGAGTTGGGCCAAACGCCTTTCCACAGGCTAGCTACGCCTTCTTCGCGCGACATGCGTATTATACCGTCAATCGCATTCTTGTAGCCTCGCCTCTTCTCTTTCGGTAGCGCGGCATCATGTTGCATGCGCACGTTCAGGATATCTCCGGGATTTCCGGCAAAGCCACCAAGAAAGCCTGATACCGAGGCCATACCAACGAGTGTAAGGAACGAAGGCCTCTTATCGGTCGTTGTCATGCGGGCTTTTAGCGATTCATACACAGCGAAGCGTGTCATGCTATACGTGCCTTGACGAAGCTGCGCCGCAGATATCTATGGTCTATTAGGCGTTGTCCTATAGGGGGGCTGGGGGGGAGGAGGGAGGGGGGGAGTGGGGAAGACATACTCCCTTGTATAGACCCAGTATACCATCAGTTTTGATAACATGAGAAAACATTTGCATCATGTTTAGCCGTACGCCATGAGTCGCCTGAGTTTGCAGACGGACCTAAGATTGTGAGTAAACAAGAACAGGCGCATGCAACTCTATGTGTCATACCTTTACTGTTCCAATTGTTAGCCAGGAACCCCACATACTGTACGGAAGAAGATCGCAAAGACTTACCAAGATCTAGCGGGTGAGTGAAGAAAGTCGCAAAACAGCTTGCGCTGCCGCCGAACCAGAAGGGATAATGAATCGGCGTTTTCTTGACAGGCTTTACATCTTCACTTTTGCGCAGTTCGGGCAGAGTCACCCTCTTTGCGGCTTGAGCCATGTTGAATGCGAGGCACTGCGCAGCAGCGGCATCTAAAGCTGGTCGGGGGTGGATGTATAGAGTGGACAAAGCCGTACCGCAGCCTTATAGCAAAGATTTGCTCGTGAAAGTTCGGTGGTTGTTAAGGGACCGAGAAATCAGCATGCGGACGTCATCCCTGCGTTCGGATTTAAGCCCGGAGCTGGCTTGGCTTGGCATCGCGTACGGTTTTGCGGGCTGCACGACTAACCAAGACAATTGCTATACTGCAAAAATGCGGATACCTTTATGCTCGGCCGCGACGTGTCGCCAGCTACATTCAAGGGGACAATTGCGGATATGGAGACCTCAGTTGGTGTCTCGACTTACGCTGCGCAATGTGAGATACTATTCTTCAGGTATGTTGCTATCATGTGATGAATTATTTTTAGATGGGTTATTGTACTATACGAGTGCATGCAAAACATTAGCGATGTGAACCAAAGAAATCTTTTTCTAAGACTCACCAGGAGAATTGCCTAAGGAGGTCAAGATAGAAGGGAAAACATACAAGACTGATGAGTGGATGAACACTCCTTCGTCAATTCTTGATGCGATACCCCGACGTCTACATCTTCAACCAGACCATCCTCTCACCATCACACGGAAATTAATTGAGTCTCGGTTTCCTGGATACAAGACGCATAACAACCTCTTTCCGATTGTTACCACTGGGCAAAATTTCGACTCGCTTGGCTTTCCACTCGATCATATTGGGCGAAGCAGAACAGACACGTACTACCTGAACAAAGAAACTGTGCTACGAACACATACTTCTGCTCACCAAGCCGATACATTCCGTAACAACGAAAGCGAAGGATACCTCATCAGCGCAGATGTTTACAGAAGAGATGCCATTGATCGAAGTCACTATCCAGTCTTCCATCAAATGGAGGGAGCGCGAACTTGGGATCGACAGCAGGCTGAGAAGGAAGGCAAGAATCTTGCCTATATAATCTGGGAAGATGTAGAAAAGATACCCAAGCACGACATTGCTGTTGAAGATCCAAATCCGACTTATCATGCGGAACGCAACCCACTGCAGACAGGCCACTCGCCAGAAGCAGTCGAAGCCATAGCCGCACATCTCAAACGCAGTCTCGAAGACATGGTAGTGACTATATTCAACGCCGCGAAATCCGCTTCAGATGCGGAGACTTCTGGCGAGCCGCTCAAGGTGCGCTGGGTAGAAGCCTACTTTCCTTTTACCTCGCCATCCTGGGAACTAGAAGTCTTCTGGCAGGGCGACTGGCTCGAAGTGCTGGGTTGCGGTATTGTCTCTCAACCTATTCTAAACAACGCCTCTGTGCCCAACCGCATAGGATGGGCGTTCGGACTGGGTCTCGAGCGTATCGCCATGCTCCTCTACTCTATTCCCGACATTCGCCTATTCTGGTCAAAAGACGAGCGCTTCCTGTTGCAATTCAGCGAGCAGAAATCCATCTCCCCATTCGTTCCCTTTAGCAAGTACCCGGAATGTTTCAAAGATGTTAGTTTCTGGTTGAGAGGCGGTTCAAGCGCTGCTGGCACACCGATTGCGTCCGCGGCCCCCGTCCCAACATCAACCCCTTCGTTCCACGAAAATGACGTGATGGAAATCGCACGCGAAATCTGCGGCGATCTCGTCGAAGATGTCCGTCTGGTAGATGAGTTTGTGCACCCCAAGACGGGACGCAGGAGCATGTGCTACCGCATCAACTACCGCAGCTTGGAGCGCACACTTACCAATAAGGAGACGAACGAGCTGCACGAGCGACTGAGGACTACAATTGTCGCGCGCTTAGGCGTTGAGCTTAGATAGGGGGCAGCAGAAAAGACGGCCTTGGAAACACTCGACGGGTGAATTCGTGTTTGACTAGGTGTAACATGTGGTGTAGTTCAACAAAGTCCACTCTCCCTGCTTCCTTTTCCCAAGAAAACGGGTCACAAATGCTTCTATAGAACAAAGTTGCCGAATCTAAAATCTTTTTATAACTTCAAAAGTAATAGCAAAGGAAAACTATAGTTGTGGGTAAAACCGTTGAGAATGTGGCTGCCATGTGGCAGGTGGGCATGGCACTGTTCCTGACTATCTCTCTCCAAAAAGAAAAACGATGGTACACAGAAAAACCAAAGTGATCGTAGCGGTGCTGATCTGTGACACCAAAGAGGGAAAAAGCAAATGTGTCAGTCGAGCACCCCCTCCCTCGGAATAATGGAAAAGCCCCCCTTCCCCCGGAAACAACGAAAAAAAAGAAAGAAAAAAGATAAGAAAGTTTGATCTAGCCCTTGGCGAGTCTTGCATCATACATACTGCATCCTACTGGCAAATTCCCCACTCGGCAGTAAAAGAAGCGGCGTTCGGCTCTTATCCGTAACTCACACAAGGACGTACCCGTACCGTTAAGTAAGTAGCAGCATAGCCCCTCCAACCCACCCAACCACCCCTCCCCGAAAAAAAAGCAGGACAACTCCTCGCACACGGGATCCAGCACTCCCCCCTTCCCCCCTTCCCCCAACATACCAGGCAAACCCCCGGACGAAAAACCCCCTCTCTCGGCGCCTACACCTATCACCACCATCTCTACCCTCCCCATGTTACACAAACGGGGACTAAAACCAAACGTCCCCCCCCTCCCCCGGGCTCGCCTACTTCACTTTTACCCTATTGCGCACTAGCACATACATACACACACACACCCTGGCCTCAACTTACTCACTCACAAAACACGCAACTTTCTGAAACACGCATCCTCCTGCACGCTTCGCACGTGGCCACAAGGCAAAGAGGGGGAGGAGGGGAGAAGAAGAATAAAAAAAAAGGCCAAGTTACTCTATGCTAAACATATGCAAGCACGGGCGTTTGGGCAAAACGTGGAGTGTACGGGTCGAACGGGCAAAGGTCGGCGACTTGGGTTGAGGGAAGCGGGGGGAAGGGGGTGAGAGGGGGTTGGGGGGGTTACGGTATCGGCGCAGGCGGTAGATTATGTAGGTGTATGTAGGGGGGTGTTTTTTTGTAGGAGCTTGGCTTGGTTGGAGAAAGAGAGGTGTGAGAGGAGGGGGAGGGGGGAGGGAAGACGTCAGTTTGTGCGGTTGCGGTTTGTGGGTGGACCCCGCAGTTTTGGCCAGGTGCTGCCCAGATTACTACTCAACGATAGAATGGCGGATTATTTTCTTCTTCTTTTTTTTTGTTTGGGAAGGAGGGGGTAAGGGAGGGTGGGAAGGATGCAGTAGTCAGGCAGAGGAGGAGGAGGAAGCTTGGGCTCCGGTATATTATAGTTAGCCCTTGTGCGGGTTGGTTGGTAAGTGGTGTAGTCAGATAGGTATGTACAAACGGTGAAGCTGCATGCGTATGCACCTTATCGTGCATCATTTCATCTTGTTACATATGTGCATCGGTGGGACTTTTCTCGTATTCAAGCAAGGCGAGGAGGGAAAAAAATGAGATGGAGGGAAGATCAAACAGGTATTTCGTGTTGCGCATACATGCAAGCTACATACCCTACTAATTAGCCTGGACGGACGAGCCCGGTGTCGCCGCCGCCGTCGCCGCCAGAAAAGAAAACTTATCTCGCAACTTTGTCCGTTAATGTGGATATGGTCGTCCGGCACGCGCATGTGGTGTCGTGCTTGCAGACTTACTACACGATAGCTGGTGCAGTGGTGCGCGTTGACCTACCGGTGTGTTATGTCGAACCAATAAGACAAGAAATTAGTGCAGACATTACACCCAATCTTAGGCCTCGCTTTGCACGAATGAAATATGACGGGCCCAACCTAGTTTTAAATTTAGCTTGCCGGATTATCTTTTTGGTCGCCATTAGGTTCTTGCAAAAAGCAGCCAATGGACCTAAAACAGTCTGACAGGTCCTTTTCTTTTCCACCTTTTTCTTTTTACTTTGGCTAAGGCCGAAAAAAGTGTAAATTATTGGGGAGAAGCGATTGCTTCTGGTTTGACAGCTGGGGAATCTCAATTGCCGCAAAATTTTCTTTCATCAGACATGTGCAGGCTTGGCAGTACTATTCGGAAGGACTTACTCTTTGCTTAGAGATGGAGTATTCTATGTAGGCCAAAAACCTTTCAATTACTTGGTATACAGGCATGACCTTTAGGGAAAGAGAAAGCAGAACGTGCAAAGACCTAACTAGGCATGTCCTTCATTTACTCGGTTCATATACTTAGATGAATGAGGCTGATAATGCAGCTGTGAGGTCTGGGCGAACAGGGTGTTCCCGGTTCGACATGTTGGAACTTCAGACGAGAGCCATGGCAGACCGGCGCGTTGCGGCGCCTTCTCGTGCGGCTTCGAATGGTTTGTTATTTTGGAAGGGATAAGGCCGCGGGCTCGGTAGGCTTTAGCTCTTCGGCCCGTTTCTACAAAATGCATCCGTCAGTAGTGCAATTTCAATTCTTTGCAACGTCTTGGGAGTAAGTAGAGTAAGACAAGCTTTGCGTTTGTATATCGGTGATTATAGTTATTCCCATTTACCGTCATGCTGGAAGCATCGTCGTATTTACCAGGCGGCGACTGCCGTCGAGTATGTACGGTAGTTGCCTCACTATGTGGTCCAAATGTTAGTTGCATATGCAAGGGTCTCCTTGTGACAGCCAATGCTAAGGCCGAATGGGATTGATTGCACACAGCAAGGCCGAACTTTTTGAAAATTGGTGTCAGCTCAAGGACAGGCAACCGCGTGCTTCCGAAGAGTAAGTACCGTGTAAGCACGGGAACCAAAGCATGTCTGGGTATGAACACCGTTGACCAATTTGATTCTGTACAATATGAACCTGTATGGTTGATGAGCGCTAGTATCAAAGGGACTGGATTTCTGCAGCTGAATCCTCAATGCAAGGTCGCGACATGACCATATACATGCGGTACGGATGCGACACTTGGGCTTGCTGTGTGGGGAAGATGAAGGAATCTGAGCCGTGTGTGTCAGGCGATGGGACCGTTGAAGTTAGAAGGTTAGAGATTGAAATAAAGGTACACGGCGGTACCTGATGGGATAAGCGATAAGCCGCACAGAGTGTGTTACAGGCTGCGATTAGCTTACACACAGCTCCTCCCCATGCCGGTGAAGAGTGTAATCTGCAGATACCGCAGATTGGCGGATGAAGGATTTGGGATACTTATTCTAAGAAGCGCCACGCCGGCTCCCGCTGACATGGTGGGTATGGTGGGTATGATGGCTGGCTGACCACGTGGAGTGGATGCCTTGAAACCTACTGCGGGATCTAGAATCGCAGCTGGAAAATGTCCTCCCCTGCTGAACCCGTGCCAGGCCTAGCAAGCAATTTACAACGTGTATTGCCGGTAATAATCATGTGACCAGAGCCCAGCAGTGGTGGTCAACGGAGGGCCAACATCCGATTTTGCCGGATAGATGCAATATTCGAGGTGAAGCTACGTCTTGCTCGTTACAGAATCATTATCACAGCAGCAGAGAGGATGTCGGGCCGACATGATAAGGCAAAAGATGTCTCGGCAGACATATGAGAGAGGCGGTGAGCCCAATGGTTTGTAGTAACAGAGGTTGGGTCTCGCTGCAGTCGTAACCTTGCATCCGTACATACATATGTACATAGGCGTGCAAAATCTAGTGGCAACGAAACCAGATCAACAGCGCCCCTGCAGCCTCAAAGTGAGGGGTAGGAGAATGCAAAGCCCAAAGGGCTTGGCTCCGACTCATGTGTTCTCTGTCTACTATGATATAGTCAACTGTCATATGTATACTCCGAGTGGGCCAACATCGGTCGACGTGACCTTGGAAATGAATGTAGTCGGCCGGCTTGACATGGCAGATCGTTTCCAGAGTCGATAGCAGGTTGTGGCAAGTGGAAAGGACGAGCGTTATAGCAACACGTGTGTGGGTACCTGGCATGGCGGGCAGGTTATCCCACGAGGTCGGCCAATAAACCGTGGGTTGCTGTGGCTCAACACACTCAAAGTCGCATGGTATTGCTATCATGACACCCTTATAATCAGGTTTGCATCGTAATGTTTCATGGCCATGCAATCCCATTAACAGACCGGTGTATGTAGGTCCGCATGCTTTGTTTAATCACTCAGGACTTTTTCCCCCCCTCAATGGGTATAATGCAATCAGGCGGCAGTCGAACAGGAAATGATGCTTGGCGCGGTGGTCGAGCTGTTTGCACATGACGAAATCTGTCCCTTTGCTGCGAACGTACTGAGTGTGGCAAGATGCAGGCTCGGCTCAGAAGAGTCAAGAGAGGGCGGGATGAATGAAACCCAGATGTCGTTTTGTCGGGGAAGATGACCCGACCCATGTGGAAGCAGCAAGACGAACCGCACAGTGATTTGCTTTTGACAAGGAACAGGAAAAGCACTAGCCGGATTGGACGGACATCGGATGATGTCGACTTTGCGCAAAATATTTGTGGGATCTCGTGCCGCCATCCTCTGGTCAAATGGATGCGTCGCGCATTTCTTGGCGTGACCGTCGAGAGCACTTTGCATGTGTGCAGACGGGATGCGGGAATTAGCAAGTGAAGCTGTAGGTATAGGTCCAGCACATATGAATGTGACGACGCTCTACCGTTGAAGATGACGAGTGATTTGATTATTGCATTGCAAGTCACATGTGGCAAGGGCGAGTGCATAATGTTTCGTGGGGGTTGCTGATGCCCGGCCACACCGTGTTGGTTTTGCAGCCACCGCACGAGCCAGCTTTGCAGGCCGGAGACAGAGCAGAGTTGGAGTAGGTACTTATTTGCTTGGCCCATGACCAAAATGGGCCGACTGATAGAGAAGACTCAAGTGGCAAGTACTTATGTAAGACATACGTACGTGCTGCACCTATAGTAGGTGAGTGCAAACCAAGGCCGGTAGGAGATTTGGGCGGGGCAATGTGCGGGCCGGTTCTGCAGCAAAGCATCACAAGCGCAAGCAAGGCGGGTTCCTGTCTTGTAGAGCATGTACGTATGTACATGTGTAGAGCATGCAACAAAAAGATGGCTAGGCATGGGTGGTGGCATGGCGCAAAGTTTAGGGATGGCGGAACCAGTGTCGAGGGTCCACACAAAGCTTGGCTGCTGGCGACACCCCCCCATGCAGCCGTTCAGCGGAGTCGGCAAGCAACAGGCCAGGGCCTGATTGGGAAGGGAAGCGGCCATGATCAGACGCAAAGGGGGTAGTGGGGGCTGATGACGAGAGGCATGCAGGAGTAAGTATGTGAAGGCAGCTTGTAGTATAGGTGGGAACTGATCGTCTTTACCGGCCGCGAGTCGGGTACGGACAAGCGATGGTCGAGTTGCTGTATACGTGATGGTACCGTGTGCAGACAAAGCGAGGTTTGATGAGGGTGGTGCCGGTCGAGTAGAATGGGCAGGCTCGCTTGGAGATGAAAGTGGACGAGTATCGTGGACATGATTATTAGCCATGGCCATACAGTGAACACGACTGCTAAGTACGTTGATACGAGCAGGAGCAGGAGCAGGAGACATTGTAATCATGTGTGGGTGGTGGAGGCGGAGATGGTGCAGCAGCAGCAGCAGGAGCAGCAGTCGCACGTGAGGAGGTGTGTGTGGCTCGCCGTTGCATACACGACGACGGCATGCATGTGGGGTTGGTTGCCCTGGAGCAGCGCCCAAGAGGCTAAAGGATGAATTGGAAGATGCCGTGCAGATAAGTGGCCGCACCGATGGGCTCGAGGCTCCAGCTCTCAGCAGCAGCAGCAGCAGCATCGAGGATTGGGCAGCGTGGTGTCACGGCGGGCGGCGATAAGCTTTGCGCGCAGTCTAGAAAATTCGTATGGTAGTCTTGACGAGTCGGGTCGAGTCGAGTCGAGTCTTGTTGAGTCGTGGTTGTGCGTGGGTATGCCGCAATGCCCCCGTCGAGGTGCCGGCTGGGATTGCCACGAGGCCCCGATTCCGCGTCCAATAGACAAGGGCGGGCTGGGCTGCTCCTGTGTGTACTGTGTACTGTGTAAGGGTGCTAAACGTTCGCTTCCCACGCTCAGCTGTCTCGTCGTTCCTGACGCGCCCACCATTGGCACCAGTGGCACCATTGGCATCATTGGCACCATGGCTCCTTCTCCCCCAGCCCGCTGCCTCCAACGCTCCTGCTGCTGCGCGACCATACGGAAGGGGCCATGGGCCATCCCACAAGGAGGGAAGGGGCGTCCCAGAACGGATGTGCCCACGACGACCACTTGCCCGCACACACACTCACACTCACACTCCCATTCACATTCACATTCACATTCACATTCACACACACACTCATACACACACGCCCCCATACGCCCAATTCATCCATCCATTCATCCATCCATCCATCTCTTCCACTCACCCCTCCTCCCATACACCCACCCCGTCCACCCACGCCAACTGACACACGACCACCGTCCAGCAGCACAGCACAGGGCACATGTTTTCCTTCTTTCCCGACTCCAAGACCATCCACATCCATGCCATCGCAGCATCGCTCGCCTGCCCATGGCCCATGACCTGGTCTCCTCGGCATATTGTCGTCAGAGCCACTAGGTCGGTCGCCGCCAGCTGCCTCAGCCTGTTTGCACCACGTCGGCCGGCTTTCATGCCGCTTTGGTCGACAACCCCTCCACCTCGCATCAACCGTCCGTTGTCTGCTGCACAAACAGCGGCTTCGCAAGAGTCTGACTAAGTGGCTCAACGTCGACCGCGGCAGGTGGCCGTGCGTGCTGCGACTGCTACTTGCTGCGCTACTCCATGTACACACTGACTCCCTCATCCATCTATGTCGTTAGCACGTACATGCACCCGGCCCTTTCCGCCCGTATTTCACTACATGCCTCGTTCCAAAAAAGACACGGCCCTCTGTCACGGCCCTCTGTCACGGCCCTTACGGCCTTTGGTCGATGGCGGTGCCTGGTGCCGTGCTGCACATCGTGCAGATCACCCTGGGCCTTAATTGCGTGACGATATAGCCTTCCCCACGAATCGCCAGACATGCGAGGTTAGGTGCTCGTTTCATCCCAACGCCCACCAGGCCCACCTGGGACGCGCCGCCGACAGCCTAGACACGGACGCTGGTATTGGTACGCTGCGCCGTAGCAGGGGCCTTGTTCGTTGCTGCACTACTAGCGCCTGCGACCTACCCTTAACCCGCTGCAGTGCCTTTTTTACCACATATGTATTACATGCAGGGAAAACCTCATGTTTGACGTGCCCGCCTTCCGAGTCTCACCAACCTTGTACTTCAGACAAGTGAGCCACAGCGCTCAAACGCCCGCCATGACACACATAGCAAACTGCATGCGCTCCGATCCCGACCACACCTCTGTTTATATAACACTGGAAACATCATCGTCCCCAATGGTACGTCGTCCCGCTCCACTCGCCCCTCCACTATCCCATCCCAATGAATTACCACCTGCCCCGGCGCTCTCGCTCACTCAGAGATCTTCAGGCCACCCAAGATTCTCTCCTCTCGCCAGCTACCACCACCACCACCCAGGCAAAGAGTCCACCACTGTCCTCTTCTTCTCAACCTTCCACCCAACAGGCCCCGTCCAAGTACCAACTTTGGCTCTCAGCAAAGAGCCCAGCCCTCGGTTCAAAGACAAGCCACTCAGCAGACAGGGTCGCTGCCCTTGCTGCTGGTCGATCACCTACTTCGCTCAGTGACACTGCTCTCCTCTCCGAGAACAGTCTGCCTTTTTGGCAACGAACCGGCTCCCTATCACGAAGACGCAAAGTCAGTGTGCCTGAACTCGGAAGCACCATGACGACCGTCCAAGAGATGCCCCTTGATTCACGTAAGTCCAAATGCTTCTTTCTTGGCTGCCCGTCCAATTGCTGACATTTGGTTTCAGCAACCATCCCGGGAAGACCTCCTCTCCGCAAACCTTCATATGAAGTGCTTGGCCACGAGCGCTCTTGCAGTGCTCCCGGTACTAACTGGCGCTCTGGTCCTTTCGGCGACGCCATGATGGATTGCATTACCGGCCCTTCTCCAGTCCAGACTCAGTACACTACCGCTCCGCTTACTTCAGAACTGCCCGCCATCTCCGGCAGGCCGCTGTCTCCCATTCTAAGCCCTGGTGCGACGCCTAGGCCTTTGCTCAAACTTGAGACCGACAACATCGCTGAAGAAGACTGGGAAATTCCGCCCCAAGTGCCTCCAAAGTCTCCTGTTACCGAGCGCAAGGGCTCTCCAACACCCTTGATACTCAACTCAAAAGCAAGCAAGTCACAACTCACCACTCCCGCGTCGATCAGCTCAGGCGGAGGTACTCCGTTGAGTGCCATTGACCTCCGGCGATCGCAAAACGGCAGCATGGGCCTTCCCACACCACCATCCACCTTCATCAATCCCTTTTACGCATCTTCACCTGCATCAGCCCGAGGTTCACCACGAACAGAGAGAAGAGATCCCATTGCTACACAAACCTTTCCCCACAACCGCAACATGTCAGAATCATCCATCATGGACCGAGGTCGGCCAAAATGCCGCAACAGCAAAAAAGACCGGCCGCGTGCCATGTCTGAAACCACTGGTCCCGAGACTATACCTGACTCTTGGAAGCTCCCCCAAGGCATGCGCGTATCTGAGGCTTCAAGGCGAATCAGTGATGCCGACAAGAGACTGCTCCATAAGCAAGCCTATGATCAAGCAGGCAACTTTGAAGTCCTTAACAAGCGTGATGTAGCATCGTTATCAAGAGTGAGTTGTTTGCAAACCCTGTGTAGACGAACTAGCACTAAACAAAATAACAGGAACTCCGAGCACTTGATGAACGCTGCGATTATCTCCGCAAGACTTACAAGTCGCTGCGCGCAGGTCGCCAGAAGCTTCACGGTCGCATGATTGCCTATCTGCGGCGTGGAGAGACAGTTATCTTCTCGCGTGAATCCCTACTCAAGCAAGAAGAAGCGCTAGCCGAGTTGGACGTGTCAATCGACGAGTTCATCCAAAAACTGGAGCAGGCCGAAAACCGCCGCCTTCGCTTACGCCAAAAGTTGCTCGAGCATGTGGCTGCTGCTATCGTCCTCGATCCTAGCTCCCGTGATCAAGTCGCCGAAGCCACTCCTCCGCGGAGTCCTGTAAAAATGGACAGTCCTGCGCGATCCCAGCGAAAGGAGACTGAATCTATCAAGATCTACGCTGATGGACACGTTCTCAACCTATTCTCGGACATTGAGAAGGCGATCGGCAAGATGTGTGAACAAACTTGCTAAGACGCGCACACTACACACCGCCCAATGGCACCTTCGATCATGCCTCCTTCCCAGGTGGCATACCCTTAATTATACCGCTTTCGTCACACGATTTCCTATGTTTGTACCATAACGGCCTTTGGAACTACCCTCCCTAATTTTTTCTTCTCTCCTTGTTGGACTGGTTCGACCTTTTTTTTTCTATTCAAACGTTTGGCGGCAAGATTTATACGCCAACGTTTCGCCTTCATTCTTCACGCTGGCATGTATACCCAATTTTTTGCACATTATCTCTTGCACATTACTTCCTATACATTCTGGTGTTGTTTTTCTTTCTTTTGCACATCAATACTTTCTCTAACTTCGCCATTTCGAAAATGGCGACGAATTTGTCAGGGGCTTGTTTCGTATTTGGAGCTTGGAGCTTGTGGGCGTGGAAGCGTGGAGCTTGGACGACGGCAGACGGATGTCATTTGGGACACCATACATGTATTGAGCTACAACCCCGCATGGGTTCATGAATCGAGAATCGTACGTATCTTGAGCCAAGCGTTATTGACCCTCGTCAAACATGCAAACATGCACTTGTGGCGCTGTGCCTGTTCGAAGCGAGGCACGAAACACCGCCGTGCCGAAAGCGCCCCCCCCTCCCCCTCCGACGTCACAAGGAACGAGCACCATCGCATCGGCAGGTCGGTTTCTCATCACATCTCAGCAGCCACTCAGGTCCAGACTCTTTGTGACGGCAACTGTAGCAATACTATCGCATGACCGGCTTGTAAAGACAGCCAGTCATAGCAGGCAAGAAGTACACGATGCACGGGATGGTTTCATTGAAATACGTTCCCAAAACGATGAGGCTCGAGGCCTTGGCTATATGGACTATAAGATAATCGCTATAGCCCGTTTCAACGGCGCCGTGACGTTGTAGAAAATGTCGGTAAAACGGAAATATGGTGGGGCAGGAATTTGTAAAAAAAGGAGACTTTGCGAAAAGGGAACTTGCACGGACTACTAGGCTACAAGCAAAAAAAATCTCGCCCTTCTATGCATTTGCTTACAGCATTGACATTAACTTTGATGCGTGCTTGCTTACTTTCGTATACAGTTGCCACATGGCTGCTGACATCAGATGTGGATTATTTTTCGGAAAGACATTCTACGTCTACGTAGGCCCTGGCCTAGGTGTAGGTGTAGAGAGCACCAGCAAACATAGGTGCAGCCGTGTGCCGCTTCCCGAGTTTCAGAACAAGACTAAAAGCGGGCAAACTCGCCTTGGCCCAACGAAGCGGCAGACCTCAGCCACCACCCGACGCGGATGGCCATGGAAATGCTGACCGAATGTTATGTAGATTGGGTCGCAATACCTTTTGCCACAGTTTGAAGGTTTCGAGATGCTGAGGACGAAGGGGTTTGTAATCGCGGGGGTTCATCTATCGTCTGCCGCGACCACATGGCCGGCTCTCCCCTCGGCGGCACCTTTCTCCGCATGGCCCGTGCCCGCCATTTTGTGCGAAAAAGTTTGGCCTTTGGTGACAAGGTGA